CAGGGAGGACCCCACGCGAGAGCCTGCCGTGCCCCACAGAAGACAAGAGCCCGGAGAGCGAGGGCCGGGGCGGAGCAGACAGCTGCTCAGGCTGGGGGGCCTGAGGAGGGGCGACGGGGGCTGGCCACGAGTGGAGGCAGGTGGGGCCTGCGGCTGATCCCGACCAGACGCTGGGGCTCTGTGCTCCGGCCGTCAGCTCGCCTCTTTGGCCGTGGAGGGTGGGGGTGGCGGGGGGCGGCAACTGCCCGACAGCCCTTCCACCCTGCAGTCTGGCTGTCGGCAGCGGGAACAGCTGCCTGTCCGGGCTCAGCCCCCCAGAGGCTAGTGCCAGCTGTGGGGTGCCGCCGGGGCCCCCGCCGGAGCTGGCAGTGATACCACACAAAGCCCCGCTGTCCAGGGGGTCTGAGAACAGAGCCCTAGCCGGCCTCAGCCACCCCGGCAAGTGCCAGCCCTCAGCACCCGAGGCTCCTGCGTGACAAGGACGCTACTGCGCTCCGCGCGGCCAAGGGCCAGCCCTGCCAACCCCACCCCTGCTGTCAGCGGCCCGGAAGGAGGCCGCGCCGTCACGGAGCTCCTGCGCCCAACACTCGGCCACTTCCTGGCCCGGCTTTCCACTCCTCAGCCCGGCTACCTGTCAGCTGGGGCCAAGGATCCCCCCAACCCCCCCCCACTCCCCGCCGGCTCGACGAAGTGGGAGTGCGTCACAGAGCAGATGGTGGCGGGGAAGGAGAGGGGAGAAGTCCTGGCCAGTGGGTCCCAGCGTCCACCTGGACCGCCAGTGGCAGCAGCAGCACCACACCAGGCAAAGCCTCCCTCGGACAATAGGGGACCGCCAGCCCAGCACTGAGGTCACCGGTGTGGCCTGTGGGGAGTCTGCCCTCTACTGGTGGCTGTGCGGGGACCACCCCTGCTCGGGAGAGGCTCCCTCGGTGCACCGGAGGTCTCAGGGAATGGGGCCTGGCTCTGGACCGAGGGCAGTGGAGCATGTCCCCGAAGCAGCTCTGCCCAGATGCCAGCCCCGCATTCCTGGGCAGTCGAGCGCCTGGCTCTGTCGGTGTGCCTGCGAGGCAGGCTTCTTTGTAACTGTGCACGGAGGCGTGTCCTGCTGGCCCACAGGGACAGGCTGTGGACCTCCGTTCTCCACCCTCCAGCCTTGGGGGGGCCCTCGACCCTTTCACCCCAAGGCCCCCTTGGCTCCAGAGGCGGGACTGGCCGCCTGCCCCCGCAGAGATAAAGCGGCCAGCCCCAGGGACCTGCGGCCAGGGGAGGGGCCGGCAGCCCCGCCCTCCGGGAGTCTTTCCCCTCGCTGCTGCAGCTGGTCACTAAGGAAACGGAAGGGAGCCGGAGGCTCCGCGCCAAGGGAGGTGGGGTCAGCCCTGGGCCAGCAGCTCCGGCCACTCTCGGCCCTTGGCAACCTCTGTGGAGGGGTCCTCTCCCAGGCCACAGGAGCTGCCACCACCTCGGCCAGGAGGGGCCCACAGAAGAGGCACCCCCAAGGCTGCTCCGGGACCCGCCCACGGTCTGCAAGCCCGGCGCGCTCAGGCGAGGGGCTTTGGGTGCCCGGCCCACGCGCTGCCTGCGCCCCTGCAGGTCCACCCGAGCCCGTTCGGGTGCAGCCCGGAGCCTTTTCTTGCCCAGGGCGATGCCCCTCTGAGCCAACAGCCCCTACCCAGGGCGAGGCTCTGGACAAAGCCCGGGTAGGAGCGAAGGTGTGCGGTGGCTGCGGGACGTCCCTCCAGAGGGCCAGTGTGGGGGGCAGTCTGCTCACCCAGCCCGTGGGGCGGAGGGAGAGAGGAACATGGGCCTTCTTGAGAGCGCGCCCCCCGCCCTGAACCTGGGTATGCAGCCAACACCCCCACACCTCATCATTCCCTGCGTGGGGTGGGGCCCTACTCTAAGATGAGCCCACTGGCCTGAGGCTGCAGGGCCCTGCCAGACTCGGCACCTGAGGTGTGCCCAGGGCCAGCCTCTCGCTGCCAGGTGCAGGAAGTGCCCAGCCTCCCACAAGGGCTGGCACGAGACCTGTGACCCTGGGCCCTGGGCCCTGAGACTCCAGTTCCCTCAGCGGCCCAGAGGTTAGGCTGACCGGGGGTCCTTGCTAGCCCCTCATGCGGCTCTTTACAGGGAACGTTCCTGGTGCCTGCTGGGCCAGTGTTGGGGACACCAAAGCTTGCCAAAGATTGTCTCCTGTCCAACACTTGAGCACACGGTGGTCCTGTGACACCACAGCAGAGGCCTCCTAGCCCACGCCCTACTGCCACACATGGTGTGCCAGCTGCGTGGTCTGGACGCAAGGGCCAGCACGACGGCCGATGGGAGAGGCCAACAGTGAGCTCTGGGCTCACCCTGAGGATGGACGGGGTTGCTGCAGCGGGGTGAGGAGCAGATGGCATTCAAACCCGTGGGCTGCTGGGCAGAGGGGCCCCTGGGCATCCAGGGAACCTTGTCCCCACAAGACAATGGACTCTGTGGGACAGGCCTGCCTCTTGGTCCCCATCTTGGCTTCCAAATTCTAGAGCATGGACAATGCCTGTGGGGTGCCTGGGCAGCCATGTGTTGGCAGAAGCCACATCTGGCTTAGGCGTGCAATGGAGTCTGGGGGAGTGGGCCCAAGAAGCTGTACAACTGCATGGACAGGAGCAATGGGACTGGGGGCCTGGGCGTCCCCCCGAGGTGGCACAGGCAGCTCTGGCCAAGTGGGACCAACAACGTGGGGTGAAGCTGCGAGCCCCAGGACAGGAGGGAAGCAGGACTTGGTCATTTAACAGCTGGGTGCGGGGGTGGGGCTGATGCGCCCCCCCCATCTCCCAGTCTCCTTCCTCGGTAGAGGGCGGCGTGCGGTCCACTGGCAGCGCACCTGTAACAGTGATCGGGTCGGACGGGGCAGGGGTGGGAGGCGCGCAGCCCCCGGGGGCTGCAGGCTGCAGAGAAAGTGCCTCTTCCCTCCACACCGACAGGGCCACGTCGCCTTCCCAAAGCAAACCTCCGCCCCTGCCCTCCCAAGGGTCCTCCCGAACCCACATGTGGCAAGTGCTCCAGGAGGGTTAGTGTCCAGCCAGGCTGGAGGTCCTTCTGCGCCCAACTAACAGGTCCCATGGTCACACCACGGCTCTGCTGTCTCGCTGCTTGCCAGACTCCCACTGACGCCCCGACCGGCCCACCTTGGCACACAGCCCCCATTCCTCTCGGCCCCCCTGAGCACAGCTGCAGCACAAGACCTGGGGCAAGCCCAGCCAAGTCCAGCCCTCCAAAGGTGGGCGCTGCAAAGCCTGGGTTTAACGCCCTGGTGCAGGCCAGGTCTGGGCAAGCATTCCCCACCTGGGGTTCCCTGGGAGGCCCCAGCTCTGCTGCTAACCTGCTCTGGGAATCCAAGCAAATGACCAGTTTGAACTGGCTGGTCTGCAAGCCCCTCTACCTTCCAGAAAGTGCACTGGAACCTGGCGCAGGCGGACCCCTTTGAGCAGGGGACTGCCCAATGCCTGCCTGGGCCCCTTCTGTGCCTCCCCCAAACCCCCAGTGCCAGCCAGGAGCATTCTGCACACACAGCTGATGTCCACCCACCTCCTCCTCCCAAGAGTCGAGGCTCAGGCCATTCAGGTAGTGGTGAAGGAGGGGCAGCCTCACCCCCAGACCGCCCAGTTCCAGTCCCTGAGGTTCCAAGGCGCACATCCTCTGGGGAGCTACAGCCCCAATCGCTGGTCTCAGAAGGGTCTCACAGCCCCTCTCCCCCGCCCTTGGGAAAATGGGTCTGGTGGGGAGACAGCCCTCAGAAGCCTGCGGACGCACAGGTTTGGGCACCACACGCGATGACTGGGGGCCCGGGTCGAGGGGGGGGGGCTGGCCTGAGCCAGCTCAGGGGCGGGGGAGCTCGGCCAGCTCGGGAAGGGCAGCCGGGGGTCAGGGAGGCAGGGTGCCCGGCTCGAGCTCACACCCAGCCTGCCCTAACTTGTTCATTAGTGGCATTAACGGCGACGAAGTGACCGCCACCTAGCCCTTTGTCCCTCGGCTTCTCTAGGGGGGGCAGTGGTGAGCGCGAAATGGTGACGGCGGGCAGACCGGCGCCCGGACCGACGCGCAGCCGGGGTCGCGCGCCCCGATGGCCGCAG